TAACCATTTATGCGAACCTTCTAGGCTGCCTTTTAGGAATTTAGTTCTGTCTACACTCCTTCTACCACTCTTAGTCTCGCCTTTACTTCCATAATTTTGTCTATGTCTTCTATTTACTTCCGGTTCTCAGGATAATGGCTAAGTTCAAGCACCAGGCACATATGCATGTGAAGTAAACCAGTGGGCTATGTGCTATTTTTACACATCCTTTTTTTTTTTTTTTGAGTTGGAGTCTCACTCTGTCACCCAGACTGCTGGAGTGCAGTGGCCGCTCCTGGGCACCGCAGCCTCCACCTGCTGGGCTCCAGGGATCCTTCCACCTCAGCCTTCCGAGTAATCGGAATTACAGACATGCGCTACCACGCCCGGCTGATTTTTTTGATTTATTGTAGAGATGAGATCTCGCTGCCCAGGTGGGTCTCGAGCCCACGGGCTCAGGCAATCCACTCACCTCAGCCTCCCAAAGGCGCTGGATGACAGGCTGAGTCACCGAGCCCGGCCACATCCTCTTTTTAGCAGTACCTTTCTATGATTCTGTATCCCTGATGTGTGAAATCTCAGTGGGCTGCAACAGAGATTGAGAAGAGACAGTCACCATTAGAAACATCTCACCACCGCCTGGAACTAGAAACACATGATCCGGATGTCTAGGCCCACCCTAAGAGCCAAGTGTCCTTGATTTGGTTCACACAAAGAAATATTATAGGATAATGGTTACAAATGTGGGTTCCAGGGTCAAACTGTGTAGTTTGGAATCCCAGCACTGCCATTGACCAAGTATGACTCTGGATGAGTGATTTAACTTTTCTGTGTCTCTGTCATTTGCATATACAGATAGCATATAAAACTCTGAATTCAGCACTTGGTGAGAATATAATATTGACACATGTCAACTATTATTACTTAGAGTCATAAAGCTTTAGGCTTGGGTGGCTTTTAGAAGTCAATTCCTAACTTTTATCAATAGAGAAACTGAGACAGAGAAAGAAAGTAACTTGTCTGAGGTAACATAGCAGGTTGTTCTACTCAACACGCCAAGGCATTCACCACACCACTGCCAGTCTTTCTAGAACATTTTTAATCACAGTGCTGCCTTTATTGTTTATGCTCCACATATGCTTCAAATACAGTGTTTGTAAGTTGTTTTGCCTCTTGAGGGGATGGATTTATGTTATGCCATGATCTCGCCTGTCCTCTGTGCTGAGGTTAAGGACAGAAAACCAGACAGGATTAAGGATGCCAGAGCTGGGCATGGATCACAGTGAAGCAAACAGCATTCAACTCAGCCTCACAAACAGAGTTGTGGGCAGTGAAGTAATCAGCCTCCTTCGGTCTTGGAACCAAAACAAAAAACAAAAACATGGGACCTCGTTTACCACAGAATCTTTCATCCAATTCCCTGCCAATTGTAGGTTGACAGAAACAGGTCCTAATGCAGATTAACCTTTGTATAACCTGTACACAAGTACATTCATTGAACTCAAATTGTGTCTTTTAAAAATAGATTTAGTTCAGAAACGACTGGAACAAAAGAGATAAGCTTATGTGAACTAAGTAATACTAGTCTAGTCCAACAGCAAATTCTGAGTACCTTCTCTAACCGGGGGAAGAAAAAAGTCAAATGTGATTGATACGTGTTCGTCTACACTGACAGCTGCCCATAGAACATCCATTTGGACCTAGAAATTAACACTAGACCCTGGGATACAATGTGGAGGTAGTCTTGCCCTGCAGAGTGGCAGAAGAAAGACAGAACTCACTTGTTTTAATCCTATTCAAATGTCAAATTAAATGTCTTCATCCAGTTCCAGGATTATCCTCTTCATTCCTAGTCTCACAATCCCTGCACAGACCAGTCCTTTAGCCTTCAACCTTCACGGTGATACCTGGAGACAGCCAGGTAGAGGTTGGGGTAGGAGGGCATTTTGTCATTTCTTCCATTGCTCTTCTGAACAGTTTTACCATTCCTTCCTCAAAACTGGCAGCTTCTATCATATATAAGGCCAAATCTTGTTTTCTCCTTTGTATGTATATTTTTTTTAATATTTTATTTTGAGGACATGATGTACAATTCATTGTTGGGTATACAAATGTTCATTATGCAGGTACCCTTGTTGATGAGGTGTGTCCCTCCCTCCCCTGGCAGTTTCCCACTACTGGCCAACACCCAACCCCCAACAAAAGTTTCCAATGATTGCCAATCCCTTTCTTAAAGTATTATGATAATTGTTCAAGGTCCACTTATGAGAGAGAACATGTGATACTCGGTTCTTTGCTTCTGTGGTAGATCACTCAGTATTATAGGCTCTAAGTCCATCCAAGTTGCTACGAAGTTTATAATTTTGTCCTTCTTTATGGATGCATAATATTCCAGCATGTATATGTAACACATTTTTTTTAATCCAGTCCTCTTTTGATGGGCAACATGGTTGGTTCCATGTTTTTGCTAATGCAAATAATGCTGCAAGAAACATGCTTGTGCAGGTATCTTTTTCATAGTGATTTGAGTCCTTCCGGGTATATTCCCAGTAGGAGGTTTGCTGAGTCATATGGAAGGTCGATTTTTTTTAGATCTTTTAGGAATCACCACACTGTTTTCCACAGAAGTTGTACTAGTTTACATTCCCACCAACAATGTAGAAGTGTTCTCTTTTCCCCGGATCCTCTCCAGCATCTGTTGTTTTTTGAGTTATTGATGACCATCCGATTGGAGTTAGATGGTATCTCAGTGTGGTTTTAATTTGCATTTCTTTGTTGACGAGTGAAACTGAGCATTTTTTCATGTATCTATTGGCTGCTCATATGTTTCCTTTTGAGAAGTGTCTATTCATATCTTTTGCCCACTTTGTAATGGGGCTGTTTTTTTTTTTCTTTTCAGCACATTTGCATTCCTTGTAGATCTTAGATATTAGGCCTTTTGTCAGATATACAGTTGGCAAATATTTTTTCCCAGACTGTGGGCTGTCTCCCCACTCTCTTGATGGTTTCTTTGGATTTAATGCAATATCCACTAAATTACCAGCAGAATTCTTCACAGACCTGAACACGACAATACAGGAATTCCTATGGAAACATAAGTGATACAAATAGCCAAAACAATCCTCAGCAAACACAAAAAAAGCAGGAGACATCACACTCCCAGACTTTAAACTTTATTATAAAGCTGCAATAATCAAAACAGCCTGGTATTAGTACAAGAACAGGTATATAGACCAATGGAACAGGATAGAGATTCCGGAAGCAACCAACCCATCTTCAACAAAGCCTCCACCAACAATCCAACAATCATTAGGGAGAGGAGAACCTATTCAGTAAATGGTGCTGGGAAAACTGGCTGACCACGGGCAGAAGATTAAAACAAGACCCCCTACCTATCACCATACCAAAAAAATCAACTCTAAATGGATTAAAGACCTAAACATAAAACCTCAAACCATAAGAAGCATAGAAAATGCAGAAGACATCCTTATGGAAATTGAAACTGGCAACCAATTCCCAATTAAAACCCCACGTGCCCAGGCCATAAGAGATAAGATAGACAAGTGGGACCCCAGTAAGTATGTTTATTTCTGACTCCAAGTTGCTTCTGTTTTTACTAAAACCATAGAAACTTCTCCTGCCACCACACACAAAAAGCAACTGGAAAAACATTTCAATTATGCCCAATCACACAGCTGAGCAACTACAAAAAAAGATGGTTTAGAGACCTATAGAGGGAAATTAAAGGCTGAACTAAACCAAAACTCGAAGAGTGTCATAGTCAGTGACTGCAAAAGTCAGAACTGGAACCTGGACTTTCTAAATCCCAGCCATACCTTTTTCCACTGAGGAAACACTGTTTAGCTGCCCTCACCTTTGATTAACAGCATTTGATAACAGTACATAAATATCCTTGTTGGGGAGCGGGGACTGGCCAGGACTCTCAGATACTAGATTACTGCTCTAAGACTGTCCCGGGGAACAGGTTGAAGTACATATGTGTGAGGGTCAGGGGGTGGGGGACAAGGTAAACAGCATTTTTTAAAGGACAATAATAGATCAAAGGATGTATGAATGGGTTTTTTTTGTTTTGTTTATTTATTTAAAAGATGTGGGGTATAATTCAGGGTTAGGTACATATGTGGTCATCATACAGGAAAAGTTTGGGCCTCCCTTTGGTCCCCACTTCATCTGGTTTGAGATCAGACACGATGTTATGTCCCCCTCCCCCACCCCACAGTGTCCCACTATTGCCAAACCTTTCCTTATAGTATTATGATGAGTGTTCAGGGTCCGCTTATAAGTGAGTGCATGTGGTAATCAGATGTTTGTTTCTGTAATTGATCACTGAGTATTATAGACTCTAAATCTATCCCAAACTTTTAAAAGTCATATTAGTGTTTTCTGGTCAGCTTGAGATGTAGTGGAAGCAGACTGGTCTGGGAACCAAGCCCTGGATACGCTCCTAACTTGCTGTGTACGGAATAATGTTGTTCTCTGGGCTTCAGTTTCCAAATCTATAAAGAGTAAGATCCCGAGGACCCTTGCAGAAACACATGGTGGAAGGACCTTGCAGGGAAAGACGAAAGGGAGCGGAGGAAGGAAAGGAAGGCGGAGGAAGCTGAACAAATGAGAGAGCAGTGTGTGAGCGAGGAGAGGAGGAGTGGAGTTGGATAGAAATGTCTTTTAATAAGTTATTGAACGAGGGTTAACAATAAAACTGGATCCTGAGGGTTCCCTTTTTTCATCTAAATGTGTTTTTCGAGTTCACACATACAGCACATAGCACTTTTTGGATAAATGTGGCGTGGGTGGACGAAAAGCATGAGAACCCTGACAAGAGCGAACAGAGTGAGAGAAAGCGAGCAGGACGCACTCTCGGCATCTGGTCTTCCTCGGGTTGTCCCCACGTCGCGGGCAGTACGTCCCCCCGGGCGCTCCCTGTCGCCCTCAGGGTGAGGCGTCCCGAAACCGCCAGGGGGCGCTGCGTGGTGGCGGGGCCGGGGCCCGGGGCGGAGCTGCTTTAAATCGCGGCGCCCAGCGGGTCGGCGCCTCAGTACCCGAGCCTGAGAGCCACGGCAGCTTCTAGCATCCGGACTCCAGCGTCACCCCGGACCCGGAACCCAACCCCGACCCGGACCCGGACCCGGACCCAACGTTCCTCCCGCGGCGGCGCAGAGAGCGGGACTCCCCGCGATCACTTCCTCCGCGCGGCCCCGCCACCTCCTGGAGCCGCCGGCGCGCACCTGCGAACTCTCCGCCTTCTGCACCTGCCGCCCTTGAGCCGGTGCGGGCGCCCGGGCGAGCCATGGCCAATGCGGGGCTGCAGCTGTTGGGCTTCATTCTAGCCTTCCTGGGTTGGATCGGCGCCATCGTCAGCACTGCCCTGCCCCAGTGGAAGATTTACTCCTATGCCGGCGACAACATCGTCACCGCCCAGGCTATCTATGAGGGGCTGTGGATGTCCTGCGTGTCGCAGAGCACCGGGCAGATCCAGTGCAAAGTCTTTGACTCCCTCCTGAATCTGAACAGTGAGTGCATCCCTCCCCCCAAAGCCGCCTATGGGGGGGCCCAACACCCTAGTGTCTCGCTTATCAGCTCACTCTTGCGTAATTACATGGTTATCAGTCTGCAGTTGGTCAACTCTTGTGATCTTGTGCTGTGTCCTGAGGAAGTGAAGAGAACCCTGGTCTGGGAAAAGGGACACGTTGAACTAAGCTCTAGTTTTGCCTCTAACTCCCTAGGTGATTCTTTCTCCCGGTCTAGCTCTAGGTGTGGTTTTATCCTAAATAACGAAAGAGCGAAGACCAAACTTGGATTTGAGTCTTTGGCCTCTCCTGAACATTCTAAGATTCTGGGTTCATTGAGGACTGCAGGGTTCAGACGAGAAAAGGGAATGGCTTGAAACGTTTGGAGCCTGGCAACTTTTCAAGTGTGCAAGATTAAATAGATATTCCAAAGTATTAGGTATGATTTTTTTAACCCTTACTCTGATTTTTTTTTTTTTGTAGTAAAAGTCACATGCTTGTATGAAATGCACCATGTCTGTGTCTTCTACTCACACTTGAGATGGAATGTTTGGATTATTTTACTTTTTAAGATCCAGTGAATGCAGGGAGGCCCCTTCCAAGACTCCCTGAAGAAGCCTCTTGAGAGCTCCCCCACAGTTTTGCTTTCAGGCCCAAGATCTTCAGAAGAGGCCCATTGTGTAGTGCTAATTTGGAAAGAGAAAATTGGTGGCAGGTGGAAAAAGGCTGATGAGAAAGAAAGGTTCTAAATAACCTGCCCAACATAATACAAAGGGAAAAGTGAAGGCACTGAAGGAGCACTGACTATATCAAAATAGTCACAACTGGTGAAGGCAGAGGTCAGCAGGGAAAGGAAGGCCATCGGAGAGTAAGAGGATATGGGTCTTTTCCAGGTTTCCATCTTCCATGAAAGAATTTCTCTGTAGTGGATGTCTGATGCTCATTTGTCCAGTTGGAAAGGATTATGGAGAGAGAAACATTTCTAAGGAGAGTCGGTGGAAGGATAATAGGATGGTTTCTAAAAATTTTTTTCTTAAATAAAAGGTTTTGAGTGCCTAATCAGAAAAAAAAATCACTAAATTCCCACTTTCTTAGGATGACGCTTCATGACTGGAGTATCTTCCTTGGGAAATCATGTTATCTGTCCTTTGTCTGTTATGCCCTTTAACTAACTGGAAGAAAAGCTTCCTTAGTCTTTGCCTGGATAAACAAGCCTGCTGGCCACCCCCTGTTGTGTGCTGAGGGCGAGCAGTGTTGGCATTGTTCAAGTTTACTTCTCTTGCTTCGTTCAACTTCCAGCAAGAGACAGCTTTAAATAGTGCACGTCCAAAGTCACATCATTTTGTTATTATGCCTGTTCCAAATCTCTTTAAAACTGTGGTATTTGGTCAGTCAATAGGCCTGGTGGTATTAAGTGTTGTCATACCAGCTCTTCAAGGTTCCCATGTTAGGATGTCTTTACACCAAAAGTAATCTGCAAGTTTAGTAATTGTGTGTTGTTTGCTGCCTTTCTGAGTTGTATTTATAAAGTGAACACTTGGGTAAGAATCACTGAATTTTTCCGTGGGAAGATAATATATTTAAGAAAATGGTGTTAGGTACCACATTGAGGAATTGGCAGATGGAGAAGTTTCTAAGGGCAATTCCAGAGTCCATTTTATGTCTCTGATTAAAAGAATTCATTTTCAGCATGTTTAAATTTTAACTTCCATAAATGACCACAGATTTTTCCATAGATGAAATCAGCTTGATGCATATTTTAAGTACTCAAGCAGATCATCCTTACACATAATAATGTGTTAAAATATTTTATTTTCATTTATTCTTGGTTAGTGTCTATTTCAATTTTTGAAACTGGTAGAAGCAATAAGTACAGCCCCCATACGTATTATAGCAAGTTTTTCTTTAAAAAAATTCTAGGTCAGTTTCCTCTTTTTCCTTTAGTTAAAGTCATAGTTTATTCAAGGTGGGGCTAAGGCCTTTCTCTCAAAACCTATTCTCAGAAGAGGGATCCTTGACTCACAAATTCTCTCTTCTAACCTGCCAATGACTCACTGGACACCTTTGGATGGGGCCCAGAATACCTGTCTCCATTTCTCCATCTGAGCAGTGGTGTTCACACCCACCTGATGTAGAGATCTGGAGTGGTGATTCATTGGCTGGTTTTGGTATAGTTCTGTGACATCCAGAGATGAAAAGCATTATCTGTGTATATATAAGTAGCGTCCCTAATAAAAGGCTGCTTTTCCTGCTTGGCAGCAGGTTTTCTGAGATTGTGCCTTGCTGACTTTTCCAGTAGAGTCCACTTAGTATCTTGGAGTTCAGATGCAGGGATTTAAAAAGGTTTTAGTACTGGAAGTATTAAAATTCTTTGTTCTGCTGCTTTAACTAGTGTCAATTGTAAAAAGCACATGACCTTCATAAAGTGGCTACAGGGATATGGTGTGCTTTTACCTTATACAGTATACACTGTATACAAAATAAGAAATGAGATACAACAGGTCTTCTTTTAGGTAGCTCTTGCCAGGCAGTTTATAAAAATGTAACTGAGACAGTTCCTGGAAGACACAAATGTCACATTGTGTATTGGAGTTTTGCATTGACTGAGACCATTTCCATTTCATTCAAAGTACGTGATATTTATCGATATGGAAGACCTTGCAGATAACAATTGAAATATGCACACAAAAAAGTGTCAGATACAGTTGTAGTAGACTTTTCTTGGTTAACCTATATACCTTGCCTTGTTTTGATCCAATTTGCAAACTTGTAGGATGCTCATACCTATTTTATGGGCTTAGTTAATTGCTTCTTCTTGCTGAACTTTAATAGCTAGAGCTGTCCAAAGATTGGGCTGCCCTGGGAGGCTGTGTGGTGTGAGGTGTGCAAGCAGAGAATAAGTAAGCATTTTGTAGGAATGTTGTAGGAAGATCCAAGCACCAGACAAATGGGACATTAAGCTAAACTCTCTCTCTAAGTCTCACCTTACCGTGAGATTCTGTAATTTGTTTATAAGCTCCTCTAGCCTGTTTAACTTGCTTTGCTTGAATCCACATGTGTGTAGGTGTGCTTAATGAGTATTGGTTGATGTGAGGTTTCCCAGCACTCTCACATGATGTCAGGCTCAATCAGAGAGACAAAATCACTGACTTGTACAGTCTTTGAAGCATAGACAGGGAGGAGGGCACCCACTTACCCTTCTACAGACTGCCTTTTGCCTGCTGAACTGGAGGGTAGTCAAGATGTTCAGATTGCTTCAAGAATTATTTGTGACTCTTAGAGTGAGGGAAGTTGAAACAAAAATCCATGCTTGACCTCAGAAATTCTCAGTTCTTACTCTGGCTTTGCACTAAGTAGTTATGTGCATAGTAGTGAACCACTGGGTTCAAGTAGTCTCCCCACTTTTAAAATAGGGCAGAGTGGGAGGGATGGGGAGATGAATCTATGATTCATTCATCCATTCAATAAACATGAGCCAGACCCTATTCCTTCTCCTTGGGATGCAGCTAAGATGATTTCCAGTACATTTATTGTTACTAACTTTAGTAATTGAAGGGGAAAAGGCAAGTGGCACAGCTCAGATTTTTAAATGGAGTAATGAGCAAATATCATGGAGGTAATACAGAAGCATTCATTTAATTATGATGCGAATTTCTCTGAGAAACAAACAAACAAAAGGTAGCAAAAACTTCTCAGGACATCCTGAAAAGTGATAAATCCTGTCTCATCCTGGATCCCTTTAATTACTGACTGTGCTTATGTGCTGAAGTCACACCCAGTGGCCACCAGCATATGCACTAATAAAATTGAAATGCCATCAATGCTAACTCTTGTGAAACTTTAAACTTCAGTAAAAGTGAAAGATTTAATAAATGAAAGAAAATATGGAGGTACAGTTCTTTGCAGTCTGTGTTGAGTTCATTTAAATGCAGGAGAGAAGACAGTATAGCATGTTTGTTCTAGTTACCCAATAGTCAACCCATTTATTTGCCTAACACTTAGTAAACAAATGCTGATGCTAAAAGGGACTACGTGAAAATAGAGCTGTAATTAAAATCTACAGATGACCCTTCAACAGCACAGATTGGAACTGTCCAGGTTCACTTATATGGGTATTTTGTCTAACCAACCCAGATCGAAAATACGGCATTTAGAGGTTGTGAAAGTTGGAAGTATAGTGGGCTGAATTTTTGTATACTCAAGTTCCTCAAAGCTGGCTGTGAGACTTGAGTATGCATGGATGTGGTTACACGCCAGTGCCTCATTTGCACAGGGATGACTTATTTTGTTTATGATCTATAGTACATAGAGTAATGACTAGTAAATAGCATTAACAATATCAGGTATTTACAGTAGATTTTGCTGCTTGTGTAACAAAAAAAGTTTTAGAGGAAAAAAATTCCACATACTTGCCTATGCTTATCTTTCTAAATATTTGTTGATTAACCTAACAACTATAGTAGGTCAGTAACTTCTAACTCATTTCTTGTCTTATAAGTAGAGATCTTTGTAACTATATATTTTTAATTACACTCTCAGGTTGAAAGTGGTGAGAACTCCCTAGGGGGTCTTTAATCTCAAGATTATCAGTCTAGCTAAATATAATTAAAAGACTGCCTTCTCTCTGTGTTTACTGCTGAATTACCATGAGAAACAATAGCAGAACTTTTTGAGTATTTGCTAACCAGACTCTCCATAAACAACTTTAGTCAGGCATCATATTGTAGAGGTATCAGCAAATTTAAGGGGCCAGGAAAGTAATGTATGTACTCCTAGATTTGTTTCAACCAGGCCAGCTCAAAGTTAATAGTGCAAAGTTATACTATATCTCTCTGGTCCAAAATATTATTTTATAGCTTTCGAACATTTCTCTTAATTTCTTTGCCCTGCTGCTTGTCACTCCTTTAGGGAAAAAACAAAACAAAATTTCATCTTGGGAGTTTCTTAGATGCATTTTTTTTTAAAAAGATCAAATTAAGCAAAAAGTACACATCTTTAGTCTTTGCAATAGTTTCCAGCTTTTAGTGTCCTAAGCCAAGTCTGACTTTATGTAGCACGATTTTAACATCCCCAGCCTCTCTAAGGAGGTGTTTATCAGGGTTATTTTTAAAACTAAAGTTAAACACAAGAGAGTAGGTATTTTAACCTATCATATTAGTACATTTTTAAAGGATTAAAAATATGCTCTAATTTAACTTTATTGAACATAGACTGAATAATCTGAATAATGTGATTCACCAGGTACTGTGCTTAGTGTTTCAGTTGAAAATAGGGATAAATATCTTCTCAGATAATCTAGAAGTTCACAATTACATATTTTAGAACTCTGAATTAAAACACCTCCATAAGACCTTAATTTAAAGGTATTCATCTGGTTCCAGCTTAAAACTGTGCAATTTAGATATGATCTGCACATAAAACACTCATAACTTGTTACAAAATAGTTGCTTACTTTGACTTGTAATCTATCATTACACTTGCCTGGCTAGTGAGTTTTCATGCTGTCTTAATTCTCAGCCTTTTTTTGTGTCTGCATGTATGTATTATTTTTACATTTTCCCCACATATTACTATACTTAAGAATTTGTCCAAATGTCTCCAATAAAGTAAGGTGAGATTTTGTGTTTATTGATCTAATACTGTGAAATACAAAGAAGTTTCATAAATCAGTGGTTGTCGGGTTGTAAATGAAAAATATTGCTTTGCAAAGTAACATTTTAAAAAAACAAACCATGATCTTCTCTCTATGGTTTATATAATTTCTAAGTTTTTTTCCATTTTTCTCTGTTATTTTTGCTTACTACATAAACAATGTATTATTTTATAGAGAAACGACACATAGTAGGATTATTAGCAAATGTAGAGCAGAATATCTGTTCCTCCCCGCCCATAGAAACTTAGTAAAAGTGGTGACAAAATAGATTTGACGTGAATCAACTATGTTTTTCATGAGAACTTAAAGGGAAAAAGCTTAGAGATTAAAAATGTGAACATTAGATAATTGTAGGTGGGTGCAGATGGAGCCCTTGAGTAGTTTATACATGTGTGCTCCTTGCCTGGGAGATCAGTGGCTTTTTATATAAGCCTGACTCAAGAAGTTGATGCCCTGTTGACTCCTCTTGAAGAATACCCTGTGATCCAGGTGCTCAGACTTGCTGGGCTAGTGGCCTGTGGTTTTTACTTGAACATCAGAACAGTGTGATTATTATATAAGCTGGGTCCAGTTTGGGGCCCTACAACTTGAACAGAGTGGAAAACTTGGAGAGAGATCAGATAAATCATCAAAAATGATTAATAAAGAGTTGAAAAACTGAGTATTTATGAGAAAATAAAATAGAGGTAGCTGTGAGATATAAGAGGATATACATATTTGAAGGACTATCATAGAAAGAATGTTTAGGGTAAAAATTATGTCAACCGTTCGTTAAGAGACTCAAATGTTTTCTGATTACACTTAGAATAAACTAAAGACTGGGAGTGTTGGCTTATGCCTATAATCCCAGCACTTTGGAAGGCTGAGGTGGAATGATCACTTGAAGCTAGAAGTTTGAGACCTGCCTGGGCAACAAAATGAGACCCAATCCCCACAAAATATATTTTAAAGTTAGCAGATTGTGGTGGCACACATCTGTAGTCCTACCTACTCAAGAGACTGGAGTGGGAGATTAAGCCCAGGAGTTTGAGGCTGCAGTGAGTTATGATTGCACCACTGCACTCCAGCCTCTGCAATAGTGCAAGATCCTGTCTCTTAACACACAAAACACACACACACACACCCATACAACCTCCAAACCTTTTACCCTAGCTTGCAAAGCTCTGCCTGGCATATGCCTTCTGCCCACCTTGCTAAATCTCATTTTCCTATCCTTTTTCATAGGCTGAGCAGCTCTCCCTGAACTGTCTGAAATAGAGGGTCACCTTATTATCCAGGGGCATATATCATCTTTGTTACTTTCAGTATTTCCTTCAGCATTTCTCTGCCCAAAGTATTTTCCTTTTGGCTACCATCTTAGGGCTAAATCCGAAATCTGTATTATGTATAAGAGTTTAGTTATTTTATTTTTCATTCTCCTTCTCAGTCATGATTGCCTTTGCAAAACATCTGAAAGAAGGACACACCTTAACCATGGAGTCATTGGTACTTTCCTCTTCATACCACAGTATGGTTTGTGCTCCCAAGGAAAACGTTTTGTAATAAATAAACAGATTCAGTTCCTTCTGGGTAAACCTGTGGTCTGTGTTTTGATGTGTTTTGATCCAGCAGTTCCTCTATTACCCTGGAATCTTGAGATAAGTGTGTGGATGGGGTTGACATGTGCCCACACACACTTATAAAGGGGTAGCAATGTGAGGGGTGGCAGAAAAGTCTCTTTTTTAAATGAAATCAAGTAAAAATTTATCTTGGTTTCCAAAATATATCTCAAATAATGTAAAAAATATCTTTGATACTTCTTAGAACAAGATTGCTATAATTTTATCATAGATTATCTGGTTATGACAAAGATGGAAATATTAGTAAGTTAAAATTTGATTAAGTTTTTAGCTTTAATTATGATTGACAATCTGAGTTCCCAACCCTGAAGATATTAAGGCTGAGTCTAGGTGTAAAATAGATACTGAGATACAAAACCTTTCCATCATCTCAGCCACTTTTGAAAACCATCAAAAAGTCAATCTTTTGCCAAATCCCTGGATAGAGATATCATCATTCACATTTTATGTAATAGAAACATAGTTCCAAAGAATACTAAGTAGCTTACACAACAATATAGCATAGGTTGTTACAAGGTAAATATAATTTATATGTGCTCATATTACCGCTCACAATTGGATTGTGGTGGATAGTGATCTTTGATGATGAAAGAAATAAATCTAGAATTTAAGCAAAATCTTCTAACCAGCATAGTTTCAGTTCTTTTTTTTTTTTTTTTTTTGGAGTTAGAGTCTCACTCTATCACCTAGGCTGGAGTGCAGGGGCACACTCACCACCACCCCAGCGTCGACCTACTGGGCTCAGGCAATCCTTCAGCATCAGCCTTCCATGTAGCCAGTGTGTACTACCACACCCACCTAATATTTTTATTTTTTATTTTTTATTGTAGAGATGAAGTCTCATCAAGTTGCCCAGGCTTTTCTTGAACCCATGGGCTCAAACAATCAATCCCCTCATCTCGGGTTCCCAAAGTGCTGGGATTATAGGCTTGGGACACCACTCCTGGCCTCAGCTCATTTTTTTTTTTATTTTTTATTTTTTTTTGAGTTGGAGTCTCACTCTGTTGCCCAGACTGGAGTGCAGTGGCCGCTCCCGGCCACCGCAGCCTCGACCTGCTGGGCTTCCGGCGATCCTTCTGCCTCAGCCTTCCGAGTAGCCGGAATTACAGGCATGTGCTACCACGCCCGGCTGATTTTTTGCTTTATTGCAGAGATGAGGTCTTGCTGCCCAGGTGGGTCTCGAACCCGCGGGCTCAGGCAATCCACTCACCTCAGCCTCCCAAAAGCGCGGGATTACAGGCTGAGCCACCGAGCCCGGCTTCTCAGCTCATTTTTAAAAGTCTATGCCTTTATGTGACAATGATGGCACCAAGCTTTTAACTCTTTCAGAAACGTTGGCATAATCTCTCAAGTTTGACCCTGTTTATTTGATCATGACTTAGCACATCAAAGACAATAACATAAAATTATAAAATTAATGGATCCTGAAAAATACTACATTGAATTAATATGTCTACTATTTTTTAAATGGCAGCTAAAATAGTTTTATAAACTGGCGATTTCTTTGAATATGAATTTACTTCTGTGTTCTAAGATAGAATCTCAAAGGTTATTTTTTTTTGTATCAAGAAAATGGCTTTCATATCCTGTCCCACTTTCCCTGGCTATATCACGAGAGATACAAATATTGCTTATCCAAGCATTACCATATGAAAAACTAATTTTTATCTTCCAAATTCCAAATGTTTTATCTGAAGCTTGATGGTTGAGGTGTAAAGGTAATGACTAATGTCAAAGATACATTACAAACCATTTTAATTACAAATAGTTAATCTCCAGGATTTCACAAATATATATAGAGAGATATGATTGTTATTTCAGAATTAAAATTTCAAAGGATTAAAATCCATTAGTGAGGATTAAATATGTATTCTTTCAGCTAAACCTATTCAATTAGATCATTAATTATTTTCCAGTTGATTTTGAACTTAACATTGAAAATATAAAACATTAGAGCTGAGGGATCTCTTTTTCCTCATCTTGTCCAGCATTTGTTTTTCTGGAGAAGATACTATGTTGGCTTATGAGCAGAAACAACGGTAGAACTAGGGTCTCTTGATTCTTTGATCAGTTTACCCTCTTTCATCAAACATTAAAATATACTTTGACTTCTTCCATTCTTCTCTTGTTGATCTAGGCATGATTTTTACATGTTTTAAAATATTTTCTGCCAGGTACTTTGCAAGCAACCCGTGCCTTGATGGTGATTGGCATCCTCCTGGGACTGATAGCAATCTTTGTAGCCACTGTTGGCATGAAATGTATGAAGTGCATGGAAGATGATGAGGTGCAGAAGATGCGGATGGCTGTCATTGGGGGTGTGATATTTCTTATCGCAGGTAATAGAGGCCCTGCCCTCTTTCCCCTTACTATCCCTTCCCTTTATGATTTGAAGACTGATTTTCAGTTTTCTTAGATGATGTTGGATTCATTGCACTTGACTTGATTGCAATCTCTTCAAAATCTGCAGACATGGACCTGAAGTCTCGTTAATTTTCATGTTCTCAAGCAAGAATCAAATGAAAATTTGAGATCTGTGCTCACATCTAATGGGTCTATTTGTTGAGGTTTCAGGTAACAATTTGTCAGAACCAGTCTCTTCAGATGAAGAAAGATGTTTACTATTTAGCAAACACTAGGTAATAAATCTACATAATTTAGAACATTTCTGTAGTGTCTCCACAGATACTATGTGGAGAAAATGGGAGTAGTGACAAAAAACTTAGAAAATATATGACTCATACTGGTCTGTGAGGGATGGATGGGATTGGGACTATTCAAGAAAAATGAGGACAACATTCCAGGTGGGCAGATAAGATTCTAGAACAAACAAGATGTGCCCACAGATAAATGAAGAGAAGGTCAGAAGAAGTAAAATGTTGGAATTGTTGGATGCTGGCGAGAAAACAATTGTTAAAAAAAAAAAACCTTGATAAAATAATTTTTATATCTCCCATAGAAAATAAATATTAATTTATTCTTTATTCAAATATCAAGTGTATCTTTTGAAAAAACAAGAGCCAGAAAACATGGACAGCACCATTTTAAAGCTTTATAATAAGGCTTACTTTAAATATGATAAACATATCTATACATATACACATACATACACTCTATCTACATATACTATATTTATATATAGCTATATATACAAAGGGAGACCCCAGAAAAGGGAATTATTTCTTGGAGGGTGGGCCCCTTATAGTATAGGCTTCCCCCACTAGGTAAATGTTCTAATAACCCAGTGGCATCAGTGTACCAGCTAGCGTTGTTGTGAGAAGCTGTATTTGGCTTCAGTGAATTTTTGTTGTTGCTGTAGTTGTCAGAGATTATTTCAGCATGTCTGTCCATTTCATGATGGATGGTTTACAAGTATGCCTGCCCACACTGTGCTGAATGTTCAGCAGTTTTGTTTTGTTTTGTTTTGTTTTACCCAAAGTGGCATGACCCCATGCCCCACCCTCCCTATTCACCCACTCTCACCTTAAGCAACTTATTTTTGTTTCTCTGGATGAAATAAGGTCCTCAAAGGGAAACAAATGTTTTGCTGATGTTAAAAGAGATTAAACAAAAAACAACAGAAGCATTGAAAGGCATCAAAATTGACGAGTTCAAAAACATTTTTGAGCAGTGAAAAAGTGTCCTAATAGATGTATTACATCAATTGGAGAGTACTTTGAAGATTAACAATAAATGCACAATTATTTATAAATAGATTCCAGTGTTTTTTGGATCACTCTTCGTATGCTGTATACTATCTCTTTCCTCTGTAGTTAGATAGTATTTAGTGTATAGATGTAACAATAGACTACTATATACTTTGCATTATATATAGTACACATATATATGCATTAGTCTATTGTTTTTAAAAAATGGCATCAGTGATATAAATATACTACAAGGAAAAACTAGATTAGACTTTTTAAACTTTTATTTTCAACAAAAGACTTATAGAGGCTTTGCTTCAGCATAAACATGGGTTTCACCAATAATAGAAGGAGAGTATCTGTGGTTTTGCTGAAGATGGGGTTAGTTTAAAATGGCCAGTCATTCAGTTTATTCAAACACAAATTAGCTGCTACCTGAAAAGGCATGGATGGTGTTATTCCTAATAACTGAATCTTACATCAAAGACTGTGAAGAAACATTACATTGCATCCTTCCTTTACTTGTCTTCTTGTAACTCCCACAGATGACTGTATCACTCCCACTTCAGTTTCAGGGACTTCCTTGGGAATACGGATCACAAGTTCAAGACCATTTACATGGTCTATTTGAACAGACAAAAGCAATAGTGTTTCTGTCAGCCATTAGAGGCTAATTGGACCACTTTTTTGGAGGGGAGGGGAAGTAGCAGAGAAACATTTATTCCACCTGTTTTAATGAATTCTTAGAATTACTATTAAAAAGTTATTTAGTCTTTTTGGATAAGAAAAATTGAGGAATTTTATACTTCTTTCAAATGGTGGAATAAATGATTTTGACTACATGGTTTCTCTGGTATTACTGGATATAAAATTCAATGGGAAATTGAGATTTGGGTTGCATATATTGATCTGATGTGGCACCCTCAGCAATCTCAAGGTAATCAATACCTATGCCAGGTGTTGTCTTGGCTGATGAAACAGTAGGAGTGTGAGTGCTCTGGTCCATTTTGAGACGCAGCCTATTTCCCCTGCTGTCAAGCTTCTTGCTTTCCTTTTGACCCTGCAGAAATACAAATTTTGAGTTTGGTCAAGAACACAGAAGGGTTTCCATCTTCCCTTTTGCATGCAATTCTGGCTGTGCTAATAATGACAATGATTTTATCAAAAGTAGCTTAGTACACTAATGTATAATAGTGGATTTGAAGGAGATCGTTTACAACATAACCTTGCTGAATTGTTTCCCAAATCAAGCTTTTTTGTGCCAGTGACCTTGAACTACAAGTGAATAAGGTGTCATAAGGAGCGTAAATTATGCTAACTCTAACCTAATATTTTTGTATGTCTTAAGAGAATACTTGGGAATAAATCATATCGGAACTTCTAATCTTCCTAATGCTAAAATTAAAAATGTCAGCACTATTGAAGAGATTTAATTCTTGTAAAATATGTTTAGGTTTAATGGACTGTATATTTATGCTCAGTGTTCCATAGTGATTAACAGTCTTTTGTTTTGAATTTCTGTAGGTCTGGCTATTTTAGTTGCCACAGCATGGTATGGAAATAGAATTGTTCAAGAATTCTATGACCCCATGACCCCAGTCAATGCCAGGTAAGGCTATTCATGCATAAAATAGATTATTCTCTGAGAAAATACCCTTCCTATGTTCTGCAAAGTCCTGCTTGCTATCATTTCCCAGATTTGCTTTCAAGAATTTTAGGGAATTTTATGTCAAACTTGCAAACAATTTAAATGACCTGTGACTCATGTTAAAATGAGTTTGATAATTGCTTTAACAGCCTGTATTGATGACAAAATGCACTTCAAAGTAGAAAAGTTTCAAGCTCTATACTTTCTAAGTGAATGCTAGACTTTTTTCTTTTTTTTTAAGTATTAATACAGATGTTAATATATTTGAAATTTGCTTTTTGAAGTATACTCTGAAGTTTAAAACAACTACCTATGATTATTTTTAACCAATACACAGTTTATGATTGATTGAGAAAAATAGCACTACTGTGGTGGTTAATGAATATTACTTTATTTGCAACAGTTGATTTTAACATGCAAAGCTATGATGTATTTTTTTAATGTGTTGAGAAATTCCCTTGAAAATTTCTGTTCTATCACAACTATAAAACTGACTTTACAAAGGTCATCTTTCTTAATATTGCAAGTTGTACAAGTTGAAGAACTGATTCCTGGCTTTCATGTAACAACATTTTTTTGATTGGAGACCAGGCTCTTTGGCTCACTGTCTTTACATCTTTAAAGCCTAATAACTGTATTCACAGCTAGGATAGTAAGATGTAATTATTGTTTGTTAAGTATTAGGATGAATGGACGAAAAATCTCAGTGTTGGAGAGATAAGATGTGCTTTTTAAAAATATAATTACCCACATAAAAGAGAACTACTGCAATGATTGTGTCGGAGTCCATCCCATAAGATTTACAGTATTGGGACAAAAACCACTGGAGGTCAATGGGCTAAAATTTTGCCAAAGTAAAAATAGCAGTAATGCATGTGAGCACTCTATATAAATTGCTAAGCATTGTGAACTTGTCATTTACATTATCACACATGATCCTGAAAACAGTACAGTGAGGCAGGTAGAATTATCCTGCTTTGAAAGAAGACATTGAGGTTAAGAGGTGAAGTTGCCAACCCAGAATTAGAAGTGATTTTGCAGGATTCAAATTTGGGTCTTATAACTTCTAGACCCAACCCTTCTCTACCTGTATTGTCAGCAATCCCTCACAGATACCTCATCCCAAGTATGTAGTTTAATATATTTATCTCATCCCAAGTGTGTGGTTTAATACGTTTATTAATTCAATTTTTTGGTGTGGGCTGTTCAGAACTCCTTTTTACAAAATCACGACAGTTGGATTTCAGTTTATATAGGTGGCTGAGATCAACTATTAAAAACTCTAAGTCCCCATCCTACTCTGTCAGTTCCCTTATAAAATATGATTGCTGCTTAGTGATAGTATGACTTGTTAAGTGTTAGCTTGTAACCATACCCCAAAAGCCACATCTAAAATATATAAACATGCTTTACAAATCTCCTACACATGAAAAACTCTTTGGAAATATTTGTATAATTAACCTGGTATTGCATGTCCTATTTCCTGATCTACTATTGCAAATTGTCAACAGTTGTAATATTAACATTCCTTGAGTATATGTTCATAAACCTTAAAGTTCTTCCTCAAGGGATCATGGGGGTTGTTTTCAATGGAAATATATAAATATTGATTTCCTTTCTTACTCATATTGGAAAATTTGTCAGTAATTCATTGATTAACAAATGTATTGCCTTTTATTTTTAGGTATGAATTTGGTCAGGCTCTCTTCACCGGCTGGGCTGCTGCTTCTCTCTGCCTCCTGGGAGGTGCCCTGCTTTGCTGCTCCTGTCCCCGAAAAACATCCTCTTACCCAACACCACGGCCCTATCCAAAACCTACACCTTCTAGTGGGAAAGACTACGTGTGACACAAAAGCAAAAGGAGACAATCTTGTTGGAACAAACAGAAATGGACATTGAAATACTAATCATTGGCATTAGGAACTTAGACTTTTGACTATTGTAATCTCAACTGTGGTATTAAAAAAAAGAGTACCCCATATTTTTTAAACACCCATTGCTAGAAATGACTTAGTCTTATATTATCTTCTTTCCTCAATACAAGAGGGAAGACTTTTCCATTTGTATTACTGCTTCCCACTGAGTTGTCTTACTCAAATGAAGGGAGGGGGTGCTCTCTAAATATATATAGATATGTATATATACATTTTTCTATAAAAATTAGACAATTAAAAACTCTTCTCAGTATGTTGATACCAGCATACTTAAAACATCTTTAAAATAGAAAAATATATTTAATTCTATGTTGATAAAATAAGAATTTTATTGGTGTATTTTTCTTCTTTCTCTCTCTACATAATAGGTCAAGTATCATTTACCTTTTTCATCAGTTTTTATTATCTTTGCCATAAGTCCCAGCCTAATTTACCAAGTATGAATTATTTTAATTCTTCATGCCTGCTGTTTTCATATGCTTATTTTTTATCATAATCTTACAGTACTTGCTTTTTCATTAAGCCCTTATTTTTTATTTCATCTGTCTGTAACTCCTAAATCATAGCTTACATTTTAAGTTCTAAAGTCAATAAGAATCTCTCACAAATCAGAGCTTCGGAAGCAAACGTTTCTGCATAACCAGAGTGATGTATTTCTGTTGACCTTCCCATACAACTCCTGTACTCTGACCTATAGCACTCTTGTTTGCTTTGAAAATGTTTGTTCAGTTGAGTAATTGCATGCCGCTCACCCTAGTGTCGTAACACAGTTTTATTGATTCAATTTTAAGCTAAAATTCACAGCTGCATCCCCCAAACTATCTTTGTGTTCTCCCCTTCTCAACTGTGCTGTTTTCCCATACCTACTTATCACATAGCTTGCCTCTTCCTGAAGAGGTGTGGTCTGTTTGTCTGAACACAGTGCTAAACTTTCCAGAGTGATAATGTGGTGACAAATATTCCCTTCAGCTCTAAGTGAGTCACTTAATCTTTCTACCTCTCTTCCCATCTGTCAAATTGAGATAATGATACTTAACCAGTTGGTAGAGGTAGTGTGAGTATTAATTAGTAGATATTACTCTCATTCTTTGAACATGAAATATACTTAGGTAGTGTTTTTATTGCTTAGTTGGCTGTTTAGAAGTCACTGAACAAAACCTACACATATGCCTTCATATGGTTCAGTACCTTCCTTTCTCCACCAGTCTGTGTCTGTTCTTGCAGCTGTGCTGGGCATGTTGTTGGTGCTCTGTTACATTTTAACTGCATCTCTTTCCCAGTCTATGCAAAAGGCTGTTTCACTTGAGCAAGATGATGTAATGAAAAGGGTGTTGGCACTGGTGTCTGGAGATCTGGATTTGAATCTTGGCACTGTCAATTACTGTCTGAGTTTGGGCAAGGCACTTAGCTGCTGTAGATTTATTGCTTCATCTGTAAGAAATGACTTGTAATTCCCAATCTTCCCACCTCACAGGGATGTTGTGGGGATCCAGAGAAAGGGGCTACATAGAACATGGTTTTGTAAGGTAGAAAGGAAAACTATCAAGGAATTGAAGTGCATCGATTTTGTAGTTACGTCTCAAATATCTGAAAAGAGAAATTTTAAGAAATGGGTTTCTTGCCTTAACTGGTCTCACAAGTAATGAGGGAGTAAAATTCAGCTCACTAAATGAAAATAACTCTAAGGAAGTCTTAACCTCATCAGTGAATATGACCTGATACTTTCAGTGTTTAAGCAGATATAATGGAGAGAAATAAAAGCCTAAGTGTTGGTTAAGTCAATAGCTTGAGAGATTTTTTGAATTACAACAATGTGTAAGGGTCCATAAGGTGTTATCTGTTAAGTGATGCCCTGAGAGCTCTTGCTATTATCTGGCAGTTGACACTGCAAGGACAGTTAGTTTGGAAACAGTACTTTAAACCACACGGGGAAAGTTAGCCAAAGGACTGTGTCTTATGATTGTTTCAATCTAGTAAATTTTAGTGTGTTTTCCAAACCTGAGACTCTAGGCTGCTAGAAGTTATAATTTAAATAGCATTTGCCACATACATGGATCCTAAAGATGTGTAAGTGTAAATGCATGTGGATACCAATTGCTAAACTCTACAAAAACAAAACTATAGTCCAAAATGACCAACAGAATTGTTACAACAGAATTTATCCAATTTTGGTATTTTTTTATACTCTGTTACCACACCTGGAAACAGACCAGTAGATATTTTGGGGTTTTGTAATGGGAATTTGTATAAAGCATTTTCAATAAATTGTTGTTGATGTTTTTTAATAAAGAAAGATTCTTGGCTTGTTTTCTAATTATTTATTTCAAGATTGCCGTGCTTGGAAGAGGAGTTGGCTTAAGATAGGATCCAACTCACTATGTTTCTGGTAAAGAGCTTTGATGCCTCTGGGCCATATAGCAAATACTACAATGCCCCATTTCTCTTCAACTAAGCATCTCACCAAGGCTAGTGATAGAAGAGGGTGCTGGAGATGTTACCTTTTTTTTTTTTTGAGCTGGAGTCTCACTCTGTCGTCCAGACTGGAGTGCAGTGGCCGCTCCCGGCCACCACAGCCTTCCGAGTAGCTAGAACTACAGGCGCGCTACCACACCTGGCTAATTTTTTTTTTTTAATTTATTGTAGAGATGAAGTCTCGCCAAGTTACCCAGGCGGGTCTCGAACCTGCGGGCTCAGGCAATCCACTCACCTCAGCCTCCCAAAGTGTGGGATTACAGGCCGAGCCACCGAACCCGGCTTGGAGATGTTACTTAACAATTTTTCTCATTTACAAATCGGGAACATAACAACGAGTGATAAATGATAAGATGAAAGCACTTTGTCAACTGTAAAGCACTATACAAACTTAAGTGGCTGTGTTTCTTACAAAAATGGAAGAGTGAAAGACAGCAAGCAGTTGACAAATCATCATCTAGAAGCTGATGATTGTTTTTGTAATGATGATTATCAAAAACTACCGCTTAAGGAAGCAAGTGATGAAACTTGTTCACTGATTATCTTAAAGTATCAATAATTGATAAAACCTTAAGTGTGACCTCTCTCTGAGAAATTTTCAGATTAATGAGACCAGGCTTGTAAGCAAAGTATTGCAGCTCTAATGTGCAGCCTCAGGCATTAGCATGATGGGCGAGAGACCAAGATCATTGCCAGTCAGTGTGATTTGAATTTTTCTTAAGCAAACTCATCTGAACCCTCATTCTGTTTTCACAGAATTTAAATATCTACAGAAAGGGCCCAGGCCTATGAATCTGAGAGGAAATACAATTCTTAGGTGTTCCTGACAAGAACTGAAGGAAAACTTGAATTGTAAATCATACTATGTCGGTAAAATTTTGTGTGTGTGTGTGAGCTTATCCTCATCTGAATGCCATGGTCCTACAAATTGAGTAATTTTTTCCCCTCTCATTTAGCAGTTTGGCACTTTCTGTGTGTGTCCAGCTCAAGGAAAATCTCCATTTCAATCTCATATTCCCTCATTTTTCAGTCTGTCACTAATCCTAGTATGATCTGGTTGTAAATTTTTCCTTTTTTTTTAAATATGTGACTCTGGTATAAGATGTCTACTTTCTCTCTCCTTTCTCCATCCCACACACACACCATTTGCCCCCAGCCTGCCCTGAAATCTCCTCATTTAGCTGGTACCGTGGTAACGAATAGTAGTCATTGCATGTTCTGGAGTTACATGGGGACAGCAGTGGTTCTTAACCATAACAGCATATTAGAATCAGCTGGAAGCTTTAAAAAATGTCTAATTCCAGGGCCAGACCAAAATCAGGGGAATCAAAACCTCTGAGGGTCCTAGTACAAACTCCCCAGATAATTCCAGTATATTATCTGGATTGTAACACTAGGCTATGTCATCTCTCAGGCCCAACTCTCCCCCAAACATTTTATGAGTAAATACACATCTAGGCACTTTATAGATTACATTGCTATCTATTCACTCTTTCTCTACTGCTACTGGTTTTGTTTTTGTTTTTTTCTGGGTTTGAGTTTGGGTTTTTTGTTTGTATATTTTTGGTGAAGATAAGAAGTTAAAATGAGGTGATCTTCAGAAGCTTTTGTCATATTCCTTTGGCAAATAATTTTTTTAATTCTCTATTATGTATTATTTACCTCCAAGAATAGTCACTAATACAAAGCAAATGTTGTTTTAAAAAACAGCATTCTTTTTAATAATGTGAGTTCAAGAGGATAAGTGATTATACAGAAAGAGAAGCCTGAGTTATTATTCTTTTTGTGATATTTTCGAGAGAGTCCTTGGCTAACCCTTAAATTTTTGTATTTATTTTTAATTGAATAGCATTTCTGTGATTTTAGTTCACTTATTTCATCATTTTTGTAATGTATTGCTTTGATTCCTTCCCCCAAAATTAAAAAAATGTAAGAACACACACTCAAACACTCAATAACACACCAATTAAAGATAGCTAACATTTGAAAACTGAGCTCATCTTTCCAAACTGAGTTGACCTGGAAAAAAGCACATTGTTATCTCAAAGGGGCTTTTATTTATTCTTCAGTCATTTTTTGTCAATTAATTTTCTTATTTCCATTAATGCTATGCTTTTTTCAATTGTCTATTGCTGCTGATTGGCTCTATAAAAAAAATCCAACAGCCTGTAAGTAATTTGAGTCAAGTAGACATCTGAATTGAGAGTTAGGAGTGGGAGAATATTTCCTAGAAGATGAAAGAAAATCAAGAAAGATATTTGAGCTCCAACACAGTAAGAGCAGAGATTTTCCTCATTTTTCCTTATATTTGACCACAATATTTATTTTTCCTGATAATAAAATTAAAACAATGAAGAAAGTAGAAAATATTTTAAAAAGTAGAAAAGGTTACTTTAAATACTATAATATTGACCGGGCCTGGTGGCTCAAGCCTGTAATTCCAGCACTTTGGGAGTCCAAGGTGAGAGGACTGCCTGAGCCCATGGGTTTGAGACCAGCCTGGGCAACTTGGTGAGACTCGTCTCCACAATAAATAAATAAATAATTAGCCGGGCATCATAGCATACCCCTGTAGTTCCAGTTACTTGGAAAGCTGAGGCAGAAGGATCACCTGAACCCAGCAGGTCGAGGCTGTGGTGGCCGTGAACATGCCACAGCACTCTACCCTGGGTGACAAAGTGAGACTCTAACTCAAAAAACAAACAAACAACAACAACAAAAAAACTGTAATATGTAATTACCCTAAAGCAAAACTTAATAATTTGATGTGGTTTCTTTAGCCATTTTTTTCTTTGTCAAAGGTAGGCTTTGGGTTTTATTTATTTTTTTTACATAGCATTATGT